AAATGATATAATAAAAATAAAGTTATTGAGAATCTAAAGCATCTCTTACCCAAGTCAAATTGCCAATGTACAATGCAATCTTCTTGGAGAAGTGATTGGATGACGACCCCTGACCTGATTGCGACTTTGGGCCCGCATCACCACTGGAGGACACCCGCTGAAATATGTAAATAAAAGACCTTAATACATTAATTTTAGTTTCTCTTCATGTAAAATTGTCCAATATTATTTGCTAAAGAAGCTTGTAAGGACATTAGAACTCATTAGAACCAAGCAATTTCATTGTAAATGTTTTTAAATCTTGGATTAGTGTTTTCTTAACAATAAATTTTAAAAGTTCATTGAGTTATAGATTTACAGATTTTTTTTTTCAAATATGCATTTTATTGAGTGATTTTACATTTGATATTTTTATGAACATGTATTTATATACAAATGTAATTAATTCAGCCATTGGCTGCAATGTACAATTTTATTTGATGAATATAACCTTGAATAACTACACAAACTGTATTCTATAAAAACATTATCGTTCAGAGCCACAATAAATATTAACAACTTCAATGAGTATAGTCCATACATGTTGCACTACTTACTCGAGGTGGCTGTGAGCTGTTTGCTGGCGTAGTTATGACATCATCATAAAGATCTAATGAGCTGGAGTTGTAATCACCGTCCTGCAATAATTGTTAATAAATTCAGTCAATACAAAACATGTAAAAAAAGATGGAAAAATCTCAAAGAAAGTGAATTACAAACAATAAATCTTTCATTTAAATGAATCACGCAAGATTCCCAAATAATAGGCCTACACCCTTATAAAGTGAACTTGTTTTTATTAAGAAATTCAATTATAAGTTTATTTTTCAACAGCTCCACAGACAGTAGGCCTGTCACGCCAAAATTGGTCCTGGCCAAAAAAGGTTCGGCGGACAGATTTTGGCCTCCAAAGTCAGTCCGCCGGACTACTTTTGCCTGCTAAAATCGGTCCACCGGGTCAAATTTAGCTGCTAAAACGGTCCCCCTTGGTTAAAACTGGCCCGCTATATAATAAGATGACATTTGATATCTATCATTTGATTAAAAACAAAATATGAACAATGCTAAAAAAATACAGGTTATAACTACTAAATAGATGTGGACTACATTTGGCAGGCCCGATATTGGTCCCGGACTAAATTTTTCCTGACAGGCCTATCTTCATTAGACACAATTTTTTTAGAGATCATGTGTGCCCTTTCCTATTGAATATTGCACATCACTATAAAATACTTTCAAATTTTACTGTACTTAAAAAATTATTCATTAGGCCAAAAAAAAAAAATATACTTGTTTAGCGTCACCGCCCGACCCTGATTTTCTAGCCGCCTCTCATTTTTTTTTTTTTTGGTAAAAAAGTGCTGAAAATCGACTAAAAAATGCTGATTAATAGAGGAAAAACGATCGTCAGCATAGGGAACCAGATGTGAAGTGCACCACCAAGTGGGTTTTCTTTTTCTGCAGAAAAAATAGATTCCCTCACACATTGTGCTTCTTGTCAGAAATTGCGGACAATTTGATCGTAGGCGTTCTTTGTAGATAATAAACAATGTTTTAAATATGATAATAATAAAGTACTAGGAAGAAAAATAATAGGTGTTTTAGGCCTAGCCTAAGTACTACCTAACTAGGCCTAGACCCCTAGCTAGTAGTAAGTATGGCTAGGCCCACCTGGCATAGGCCTAGCCTAGCACTGCAGCAGTTTGCCTACGGAACCACAATGCTTATTAAAATAAATATTGTAAAAAAAATTTTTTATGTAAAATTTAGTGTCTGTTATAGCCTTTGTAAAAAATTTGGTTTGGCACAAATGCATTTTTTGAAATCTCTAGGCCTAAAAAGCCTACATATTATTAGGGACTAGGCTTGGTCTAAGTCAGCAAAAAAAAAAAAAATAAAATAAAAAATCCGCCCCCCCCCCGCCCCTGAAAATTTCTGAGGGTGTGACGCTAAACAAATATATTTTTTATATATATTATTTTTTAATTTTTATTTTTTTTTAATTTTTTTTTTTATTTTTTTATTTGGCCTTACTGTAATTTTAATTATTTTTACAGGGATGTTAATATTAATCGTTATCAATAAAAATCATTGTATTTTAATTTAATATGTAATGCTTTATTTACTCATTTGTAACTTCGTAATTTTCACTTTGATTGCGATAAATTTTAAATTTGAATTTGCTTGGCAAAACTTAACAAATTCAAATTCACAGACAATTAAGTGATCAGATGAAAATTATTTGAATTGATGAATGAAATATTTCATATTTCTACATTTCCTTTATATTATTTTATCATCGGTGCAATAGCTTTAAATATATTTTTAATTTACTTGCCAAAACATAACAAATTCAAATTCACAGACAAAAGTGATCAGATGGAAATTATTTGAATTGATGAAAGAAACATATATTTCATATTTCTACATTTTCTTTTCATTTTTTTTTTCATTTTCAGTGTAATAGCTTTCATGCAATATCCTTATTACTGTAGTGCAATAAAATTGTTTTGGATTGAATTGAGTGCTTCCTCATCTCATCAAACAAGTCCCTTTTCCTGGTTGGCCCTTGTTGGCGAAGAATCAGCATTTTAAAAGGCACTACGAATTTAAGATTACTTCAGGATGAGGTAAAATAATAACTAGTCTGAGTAAGTGTAAAAAATACGATTTTAAATCCAACTTTTATTTAGGAAAACATTAAGTACCCAAAATGGTTAAAGGCTTAGCCTAGGCCGCGGCGGTAGCATTTTAAAATATTGATAGTACTGATTGTATGCAACTCATCACACACTACACTATGTAAAAATATAATTTAGGAAGAGTACTAAGTTCGTTAACACCGACATCTCATTTATTACTAGCGCGTAGCCTGGTCAAGCCTGTAGTAAATGCGCAAGTACTGGAATTACCCGGTTGGGCCGTGAATCTGGTGGTCATTATTCTTTTTTGCTTGCATGCAGCCTACCGCATGCTCACTTTGTGTTACGGTAGCCGGGTACGTCCTTGCAAAAATACAGTATATTTATCAATCTAAATGATATAAAATTTTTCTTGCGTCCTCCCTAATGTTATTATGAAGTAGAAAAGAGCTTCTTTTTGAGAAACATGTTAATTTACCTGGTTGAATTCATCCTCGTCGGCGTATAAATCAATATCTACACCACCGTCAGCCATTTTTGTCTAGTTTTTGTAAGCCAAGCAGATTGAGGGCGTACGTTAAAGCAGATTGAGGGCGATTAAATAGTTGCCAGAATATTCTTAAATTTATAACAATGAACTTGCCAGAAACATGGTTTACAGTATTATGATCATTTTTTTATGCTTTATTATTGCAATGGAAAACGTCATTCTATAATAAGTAAACTTCAATAAATTGCTAAATGGTTATTAATTATCTGATTTGTCTTGGTAGCTGTAGTTTCTTTATCTAAATTTAATAAACAAATATTTTAAATTCTGTAAGTCAGCAAAAACAATTGTTTTGATTTGTGTATCATATTAAGTTGATAACTTATTTGATCTTTAAATCCATTAAATTTTATTCTATGCAAAGAAAGAGTATTACATATACCAAATATTGTATTTAATTGTAGCTTTGTTAGTTCATTAGTTTAAAAAAAGCAAAATATACAAGATCATTGTTCACAGGGAATGGATGCAGCAGGTCTTGCAGCTGAAAATGTACACCCCATTTTATCACATGATGTACTAACCCTTTCATTTCTAGGTGAGACTTTTTCAATACCTTATTTCTTGAAATTATTTTTTAAAGAATGTCAGATTAAGGTGTAAAAAAAATAAAACAAAAATTTTGTTTTCTTATAGCAATTGCCAAAATTATCTAGATGGAGGCGAAAATAAAAATTTCATTGTCGAATGTAAACAGCATAGTAATGGGATGATTATAAAAATAAAATTTCATTGTCGAATGTAAACAGCGTAGTAATGGGATGATTAAACATTTTAAATTTATATAATTAGGTAGAAATTTGAATATTTGAATCATCATTATTGGCAGGTGGCAGGTGCTGAACAAGGTATAAATAAATTCTCGCCTAATTTATAAGGATGCTCCGAGCACAGTTCTCCAACCATTAGACAAAATCTGAGGGCATATCTATCTTCCAAGTCTTTGAAAGTGCCCATTGAAAAATATGAAATAATATACATATAAATATATCGTATATGATGCAAATAAATAGTATTTTTATTAAATTTTTATGTGTGTAATATAATAATCTAATTGCAGGTTACATTATGGAAATATATATTAAATACAAAATAACAATAAAAGCTTATCACCGGTATATATATTTTATTCAAAGAACTTTGCAAGATAATAATAATTACAATAAATTTATTAACATATTTTTACACATTTTACGTTACGCTAATAGACAAAGTTTATAACATCATTAGCTCTTTAACGTGTAACTTTTGAAAACAGGAAGCTTACAATTAAACCCTATTAAAGTACAACAAAACAGTCTATAATGCATAAGCTACCATATATTTTTGAGACTCAGGCTGATTCTTTCTGCAGTTATCAAAGCCAACATTATTATTACTGCTGGTAAATACATTATATAATAATTATGCATCAGATAAAATATTAATTTTTTGTGTAATGAAGCATAGTTAATATATTTTTTTCAAACATCTAAGACAAAACATATTACTGTTTTTATGTGCAACATACATTATTCATATTGTATATGTATATAAAGAAGTATATTTAAAACATGGAGTATAAATTTAATAAACCAATTTTATACCTCCATTGTTAAAAATTGTTTATATCAATTAAAATACACTACTTAATTAATATGCACAACATACAATACAGTACTCATTTTTTGAGTGAAGAGTAGTTGATAAATTGTTTATATATGACAATAGACATCAGAAAATTCTATAATTAGAAAAGAGATGCAGGGTTTACATTTGTATGTGCCAAGCACAAAATCCACACAATACACTGATACATAAATGGTATAATAAATATACTTCCTTCGAATAGAAACATTTACATTTATATAACTGTTTTATACTTCTCAAAGGTCACTTACAAATACATCTGTAGAAACTTTTTCTTAACATATTATCAGATATGCTAATTAGATAATCTATGTAAAAATCAAAATAAATATCTCTACAAACCACTGCTTTTCACAGTTCTGAGTTGTTTTTTAAATTTAAATTTGTATTTCTCCAAACACTATACAGGTATAAGTGGAAAATCTGTGATTTACCCATATATGGGCATGATGATATATCACGCAAAATAACAGGTGTTTGTTACACTTGATAGTGTGGAGTATTTTCATTATTATCAAGATACATTCAATAAATTTCATTTTATTTATTTTTTCAACAGTTATATAATTTTTAAAAAGCACTTCGAGATAAGATTATAGGTTGATATAGCTAGCACATTTTGGTATTAAATATTACAGTACTATTATTATTATTATTGATGCATCCAATCATTAAAAAAAATACAGTATTTCAAACTAACAAACTTTGGATAGTTACATGCCAAATGTTGCATTATAAACAAATATTATTCTATTTTTTGCATTCAAAAATTACTATTTTCTCTCATCAAACTGTAAAATTTTGATGAAACCGGTAAAATAATCGTTTAGCTAAACTCTTCTCTAGGTTGTGTATGATATCGTGATTCTGCACATTGTTATTAAATATCAGCTTTCGGAATGACTCGTTCGTCTCCAGAAGTTCGGTCATGTGCCTAAGAAAGAAGGCATGGCAGTACTCCTTCAAGCACTCAGCATTATAAAGCTGCAAAAAAAAAAAATCAAGAATATATGTATATCAATAGTTTATAGAAATTTCTAAAAAAAAGCATATTATAAATCTTTTAAAAATTAATCAATTGAGACTTGACTGGTGAACATATATGTGTTTATATTTATGCATGTGTAAGTTAACTTGTATTGGAACACATCAAATGAAAAATTAATTACATAATGTTTGAAGCAGCTATCACATAACCATCTGGCAGACTATCTCCTATCTATATGATATCTAGATGTGTATAAGAGACAGATATAGTTCCAAGCCTGTGGAATATCTAGGAGTTTTGAAATTGGGGGGGGGCTGATGGGGGAACGAAATTGAAGTGGGGGCTCGATGGTTGGGTGAAGGGGTGCCTAGCTTGTAAAATAAGGTGATTTGAGGTAATTTTTAACTACTTGAGCATGATTTTTTTGGGGAGGGCGACTGGGGGCCCAATTACTTTTTGGAGGGAAATGCACCTCCCAGCACGCCCCCAGATATGCCATTTTTTCAAGCTCAGTTTTCATTTAAGATGAGTAAAGACCTCAGGATATAGTACTCTGGTATTCTTTATAATACCTCAATAAAATTTAAGAACTCAAGTAATCAGATGGCAATGACTTGTTGTCTTACCATGGCATGCCTGTAAAGTGTAGTGATGTTTTCACAGGTTACAAGGTGACTACACATTATCTCACAATGTCTCTGTAACCCTTCCAACATGAAGTAGTTAGCAGCAGCCATCAACTAAAACATAACAATTTAATTAATGACTGTCAGTATGTGTTTAATAATAACAATGATATCATCAATAATAAAGCAACAAAAATTTAATTACATTTACATTTACAACAATAATAACTATATTAATCATAGTAATATTTATACCAATGAAAAGAAAAACACAGATGCATTTCAAATATATATATGTTACAACAAGAATTAGGTTGACAAGAAACTGTTTCCTCACCTCAAGAACATCGACCTGTTCAACCCTGAGGGAGTCTGGAGTCCCATAGTACAAATACTGCATGATCAACTATTCATAGAGAAAGAAAAATATTCAACATAATATAGATAAATTAAATATATTATATCAGAAAGGCAGCAATTAAAATAGAAGACATGTCTGTCACAATGTTTGCCCACTATCAACAATTATTGTGCCGGCATGCACTAACAGAGTTTTTTGCCTGTTTAATGTTTGACTTTATCTGGTAGTGTATACTTGTTTATTGGTTTAAGATCTGATCAAACACGTTTTTAATATCTGTTGGAAATTATTAGACAATGGTCTGCTTGTCAGACAAATTTTGGAAATACAAATCTGATAAAACATGCACAGAGTACTATGGTAAGTGATGCATAAAGAGAGAGAATTGTTTCATAGATGTCTTATTAAATTCTGATGATGATAGTATTGACTACAGGGTTTTAACCCTTTAGAAATCATAATTGTAAGCCTAAATACCTTGTAGTAGGGACTTTTGTGAAGTCAGACTCCAGAGGAAAAGATTTTTTATGATATATTTTAGAACTGATTTTTCTAAGACAGAAAAATGTTGTTTGACGAACACTGGGGAACGGTGAAGGAGATCCAGAAAAACTGGGGTGGGGGGAGGTGGGAGAAGGGTGTAAATGTACTTTTTAAAACCTTTCCTCCCAGTTTTTAAATATTCAAAAATCTGTATCTCATTCACAGTTCCCAATATTTTCATCAAAACAACTTTGACTTTAAATAATCTGATCTACATTATTTTTGTCAGTGGTATTTTAAAATTTAAATTTCCATATGTGTAAGTATGACAGCAAAACGTAAAAGCATCTTAAAAAAATACAAGAAACAACTAATTACCTTAAATATTTGATATCTAAAGTCAACAATTTCTACACATGGTTGGTTGCCTTCTGTGAACTTATCAGATAACATAGCTTTGAAGCGTTTAGAAGCTGTCACTAAAATGATCTTATGCGCATAAAATGGTCGACCCTCGATGATGAAGGTTACATCTGACATCTCCCGGTTGTTGACATATTGAGGGTCTGCAAGAAAACAACAAGAAATTAATGTATTTAGTTCAATTTTAGAAATGAAAAATGATTTTCAATACATCACTTCAAAATGCACACACACTTTCTGCCTACAATAAATTGGACAAATTAACAACCATCTGATTTCTATCAACATACCTATTCTAGCATTTTGTACAATCTTCAAAGGCTCAATAGGTGTCAACGGTCCTTCCCCATAAAGACTAGCTAGGATGGATGCCACTTGGCTTGATGCAACGTCCTTCTGTAATATAGAAAAACACAATCATATTTAATCATATTTAACCAAAATTGGAAACATTTTTAAGGATCTTGTATGTTGCAAGCAGTGAGATATGTACAAGGTGCGCAAGGTCTCCCTTTAACAAAATCCTGCACTCCTCGAGTTGCTGGGCCCCACCTAGAAGTTATGAAGCAAAAAAAAGTATGCTCAAATAGTTAAAAATCTGCTCATATCTCCATATCATGCAGGCTATCAACCCCCTCACTCAATCATCAAGCCCCCTTACAATTCATGCCCAAAAAAAATCCTGCATCCCCAGTCCCCCTCACTAGAAAATTTGAAGCAAAAAAGTTACCAAGTAGTTTAAAATCAACGCATATCAGCATATCTTGCAGGCTAGCACCTACTCACTCAATCATCAAGCCTCTCCCTCCCCTTTCAAGACACCTAGATACAACACTGGTTGCAAGTAAATTTTATACATACTTCAAAAAACAAACTTCACTCACCTTACTCTGCTTTAGAATATGGAACAAGAGAGGGAGCCCTTCATCTACAAACTGCTCATCATATTCGCTGAATTTGATAGAACCAAAGTCTCGTAATAGACACTGTATGACAGTCTTCCTGCGGATGTGCTTAGCCATCAGCAATGCACTCATCCAGGTTGTCAGGTTCCAGGCAACGCCAATGCTCCTCAGCTCCATCGCAATGTCCAGGTAGCCATGCTCACAACTGCTGTACATTGCTTCCTATAAATCGTTAAAAAAAAATGAAAACAAACGTTTAAACCACACGGTTAATAAAGGGGCAGAAGACTTCCTTAGAGTCGATGGCTAACCATGATTAGTTAGGAAGTAAGTAGTATTAGTTTTCTTAAGAGCTAAGTTATGAATTACTTTCTTGGATTGGTGCTGATAATATGTATGTGTTAATGCTCTACAATCAGGTCACTTCATAGGACCTGTGGAGTGGAGAGCTGATCATTAATAATGATCCTCAATGATTTACAACCAAATCTCTTTATAAGCCTTTGTAGAGTGTAGAATTGCTAATTTGTATCCTCAATGTAAATTTTGTTATGAAACTTGTGGAGAGGTAATTATTTTGGATCATTAAATGGTATGTTACCAATGCTAATCAAGACTCATTTGAGATTAATATGGTATCAAGCCTGTCTGTGATGGTTGTGGTGTGGAGTGCTCAACTGCATCAGTCAAAGTCTGATTAAACATTGTTTGACAGATAAAAATCTGATAGTATAGTCTGCTTTTGTATGCAACAACCATTAACAACAGCTTGTCCTTTGTAGGTTAATAATAATTTTTTTAGAAAAATGTATTGTCCCCATTAGGATATGAGCCCAAGACCTCTTCCGAATACAGTTCTGATACTCATACAAACTGAGCTATGAGGGTAAGTGTCATAGCTCAGTTTGTATGAGTATCACACCCTTACATTTTCTATCATGACACATTTTCTATCAGAACACTTTTTCTTTTTTATCAAAGTATTGATCATGTGCTTTATGTAGTCAATGTACATAAAAAAACACAACAAATAGTACATTATATAACACACCTAAATAGATCCTTGTCATTTGATTGGTGGATTTCATATCATGTGACAGTACCATTTATACCATTTCATCACTCATCATAGAAATTTAGTTCCACTGTGCATTTTTAGTCCCATTCGTGTGCTTTTTGTTAAATCTGTTTCGCTCCATTCAGAAAAAAGTTACATTTTTTTCCTAAAAATATCAAATGACAAGAATCTATTTTATGTGTGTTAAAAAACAAATAATGAATGTTCATGAGTGCAATGGAAAGAATATTTTCATTAGTTGAAATATTGACTGTTCAATTCAACTTGGCTCCGACTTGTTGAATGGAATAACTCATGAAAATATTCTTCCCATTGCACTCATAAATATTCATAATTTGTATAACATTGTATATTAGTTAATGTTTAAATACCTGTAGTGATGTACCCATCTTTCCAGGTGAAGATTTCCATGATTTTTCTTTTGTAAAGCAATCATTCCCTTCAGCTAAGATCTCCTCTAAGGACAAGATATCTGTTGGCTTGTCACACTTTGGCTGCTCCAGAAGCTTGCGAAGAACATTCCTGCAAAGGAAAAACAATTTAATATATAATATCAAAACGTTCAGTAAGTATAAAACTCGATCCTCTTTAAAATTAGCTATCTAAGCTAGTTGTGTATAAGGGATGTCTGCACTAATAAATACTGGAGTAGGAAGGGGGAAAAAGTTATGCACAACAACTCAATAGATACTAAAATCTATATATCAAGACACAGAATAACTTTGTTGTCATTATATATATCAGCATTATACAAACAAAATATATACAAAAAAATAAATTCAAAACAAAATCTTGTGTCCACAAAAACAAATACTGTCTTTGTTTATTACTATCAATTCTTTAAACTTTTAAACTGTAGTTAGGTTACATCTATTACATTTTACACTATCAATTTTCTATTTTATTCCTTAATTTATTTTATCTTTATCATCAAAATGAGTTACTGAAAGTTCTGATTGCAGAACATATAATTTATAGATTAGTTGATAACAAAGAGTTCCTGTTGGATGATTGTTTGAAATAAATAAATAAATAACATTTAATTAAATTTCTAGCTAAAGGTATTCTATTTTATACAGACAGAAAACTCTCTACAGAAGCTAGGCCCCTACACTGACATTCTTAGGGACACTTAAAACTGAGTGGATGCTAACATCAAGGGGTTTTGAACACGTTTTTAATGTTTATTTACCTGTGGCCATGTGCAGCTGCTAAAGCAAAAGAATTGCTGTGACCTTTCGTTGTAATTCCATTCTTATGAACTGTGGTCAAGTAAGGGTCAGCACCATAAGACAACAGCAAAGAGACTAGCTCATAATGACCTATGAAAAAAAATAATGAAAATAAGTGTCTATGAAAACAATCTGTGACCTTTCCAAATATCTCAATGCAAAGGCACTGGTTTTTGTAGTGGTTCAGATAAAATTTACATAAATATAAGTGAAAAATTAGAAAAAATAATACAAACCTGCCACACTAATAAGATTTTTGTGTGACAAATACAGTACTGTTATTTACCCATATATGGAAGAAATATGACATCATCATTCTCATACTTAGATGTGATGTGACATCTTCATGCCCATATATAGTCAAATCACAAATATTTGTTACATACAAATTGATAGTTTCAACAGATCTTTACTGGTTGTGATATCTTAATTAAAGCCTTATTTTTGCACATTTTGATTCTTGAGGTTTGCAAGTTGACTGAAATGTTATAATAATGCTAATTCATTGGAATACACTGTGACAACATTCTAAGCTATAATATACCTGCGGCTGAGGCCAACTGAAGCGGCGAATCGGTGTAATTATCATCTGCATCTTGAATGGATCCTTCAACGCTAGCACCGACTTCTAGTAACAACTTGGCTACAGATACATGGCCATATGCTACGGCAAATGAGAGGGCTGTCCAATGACGGATTGTTGAATGAATGCAAGGATAACTTGGGTACGAGCTCGGCACCTAGACAGGTAAAGAATACATTTAATGAAAATTTCTCAATTGTTTTATATACAAGTTTCCCTCTAATTAAAGACCCCTTAGCTGAAACAAGGATGGAGTTGAATCAGGAAACTAAGAATGGCCAATATTCATTGAGCTATTGTTATATATTCTGAAAACATTTTATACACATTCTGATATCAGAATTATTTTTTTTAGTACCTAAAGGTTTAGTATTCTTGAAAATTGGGGTCAAGTTACTTACTGGGAGGTCAGGATTAGCCTTGTGATCCAGGAGTGTTTGAACCATCGCCTCATCTCCTCTTACACAGGCAAACATCAGTGGAGTCAAACCCTGAGAAACGAAACCAAAAAAGTTTCATAAATCAGTTATAAACAAATAAAAATCTCTTTATTTTGTTTCTTTCTACATTTCTATATTAACTTCAGCACATAGGTCATTCCAGCCCCATAATTTACGAAGCAAAGTAGAAGAAAAAAAAATAGCCGAACACGTACATCCTAAGGTCTACCCAGATTATTAAATCACATTATCATGTCTAAAACCGAAAGGTCCACTGATTAATCTCAGATAAGATAGTATAATACATACTCCATGTATCGAAATGCATGCCACCATGTCGGGATTCAATATTTCAACATTAATTATGTCACCATCAGGAATGAAAAATTATCCATATTTGCAAGCTTATATGCACAAGTACCAAAAGTGTTTGACCAATCAAAACATTACCCCTAGTAGGTGACATAGCTATGAATAAACTAAAGATAAAAGCATCCTTACCCTACTGATCAAAGCTACCTACAAAAACAAAGAAAGCCCCTTTGAAGCTTTCAGCCCATTGTTAAGCAATGGGTGTAGCCTAAGTATGGCAAACTCTTATTTAAACAATACTATCATGTCTCTTATTACATTATCATCATCAAATCACACTATCATGTTTTTTGTGACAAAATATAGTTTGGACAGGGCTTAACTATTAATAATAATGTGATATTACTCGACGAGATATCATTCTTTACCTGATCGTTAACCGTGTTGATTCCTTTTTGGCCTAGCATGACAATAGCTTGTCCGACAAGGTCCGTTCTTCCGCAAGTCAGCATTCTAAAGCCAAGATCCTGTTGGAATCGACGGGCCGACTGCGTGGCATCCAGATGACGGGACGAGCACAATGAGTCATCCGTTCTATTAAAAATAAATCAAATCATAAATATCTGAAAGTAGCATATACTTTATAGTGCATCTTATTCTATGGATGTTTTGATTTTTAAAATTATTTTTTACACACATGGGTTAAAGTTTGTATTTCTTTAATAGTTTCTGTATGAAAGGATATCAATGTAAAATTCGCATTGTGTCCTATGTAATATTCATGAAAGATAAAAAAGACTTTGCAGAGGCCTGTAACACTTCTTATTAGATATCTAGCACATGCTCACAGGGCAAAGGTTATCTTTCATGGTGTGTATGAGGTAGATCATGAAATTAATACGCTGGGAGTAGTGGTGTATTTTTTTTATGTAGAATCAATATTATCAAATCTCAATACATTAAAACAGCTATACTATACATTCCACATAATCAAATTATCACCATCATTGAAACCGTTCAATGCTTCCTTAAAATGACATTTAATGAAATAAAAATTTGAAACTCTGTCACTTGCATTGTTGTTTGAATGATTCATCTTAAGCCTCTGATGGTGGTGATACACGATACGTGTTTCTGATATTATCATTATAACATTATGCAGCATGATAGCTGCATGCTTGAATATTACTTTAAAAGTTGCTGGTTCGATTCCCACAGCATGACACATTTATTATCTATATATTATATTCATTATATTATATATATAATCATTATCATTATATTTTTAAGTAATTATACTAAAAATATTTATGTAATTAATTATCATTATTTAAATAATCATTATACAATCATAATCATTGATTAGAATCATTACCATTATTTATAACTATAACATTATTTAAATAAATAATTTAAATTATTAAAAAAATTATTAGGATATTTATTTGACTATTATCATGACTTCCATTATCATCATTAGATCTATCAACATTAATATCATTATGCTTTAAGTTATTACACATATTACTCACTTTATTATATTTGACTATATAAACAATAAAATAATTGATGACTTATGCATGCGAACATATATTATTATTCTTGCCTAGCTTAATCAAAAAAAATTTGGCTAATGTCTTTTTGAAAAGGGAAAGGTATTCTAAACTACTCTTCACCAATAAGCAATTTAACCATAAGCTGAACCAAAAACACTAAAAGTCAGCACTTTGTTCCAAAAATAACAACCAATGTCTAAAGATATCACGACTTGGTATATGATGGAGATACACATCTGACCTCTCATTGACACCTAACACTCAGAATCAACTGTAACCAACTGTGATTAATAACTATTTATATTATAGGATGGTACAAGACCTCATGACACTACCCTTGTAAGGTGGATTTGTTATCAAGTAACAAATCAATAATGAAATGATGGAGAAAAATGTTAACATAAAAAAAAACAAAAAACATCTTGCTTTGTACATTTTTTCAGAGTTATATACCATGACCAGTTTGTCTAGTGTACCAAACAGACTATTGTAGTTTTAAAAAGCGTTTGACACACACACAAACACACACAACCCCTTCTTTGTTAAAAAAAAAAAATAACTTTAAAAAACTGAGAAATATTATTACTTCAACAAATTCAACTACAATTCTCGCTCTAATTAATAGACCTCTCCAAATAAGACTACTTTTCTGTGGTTGCATATTAACAAATGTCTTTTATTTTTATCATTCTAATTAGAGACCAAAGCTGCTTAAGATTAAGGAAACCCAAATAGCCACAATATTGCCTGGTCCCAAAAGTGGTCTTTAATTAGGGTGAGACCTGTATAATAAAATTCTATATTTTTGGCATATTGCAAGGATTGAACAAACAGCTTAGGACCCATTTTTGGTGTTACAGTAGTTGTATGAAGGCCTATTTTGATTACTTTTAAAAGGTGCAATTTCAGATTGACTAGCTTGCACATACAGTACCTCAAAGATCTAATCGGTGTATCAATGCCTGGCAAGAGTAAGCGTGCCGCCTGCCGTACATCATCTGCATCCACGACGGAGCTTAGACGGTGTTCGCAATTTGCAGTGGCTACACGGATCCATTCCATCAGGGGTGGTAGCACTGTGTAGGGCCTATAAATCCAACCATTGTTAAAAAGATTATTCAATACTATATTTAATATACTAATACTGTGTTAAACTAAAAACCTTTGCAGACTACCTAATTTTATTTGACAAAAACACGTGACCTGCCTAATATAGTCATGATGTGCCTATATATGGTCATGATGTAATGTCATCATGACCATATATAGGCACATCATGACTATATATGAGCACTTTTACATACACGTAGCGCATTCTGAAAACAAGCGCTTAATTTCTATCCCCGGTCATTAGTCCAAATGCATATGGAACACTTATGGGGAATATTCCATAATGTTGCAGCTATTAATTAGCGCGGATTTTATGTTCTTGTACTTTTGGTGGAAAAGTCAAGTGTAGGTAAGTGCCTTGCCCAAGGACACATGGAAAATGCACAGTGAATGAACTTCTAACTTCAAGGTGGAGAAATAAAGCCTAAAGGTTAACTGCTCCTAAAAAATTTAATTATAATAGTGTAAATATTTATCAATCAGGAGCTTAGAAAATCTGGTTATCAGGAACACAACTGAATATAAATATTTGTTGATATCATACATTAATAAAAATATTATTATTACCATTGATGATAAAGTTATGTGGAACTTTATTGGGCTTTTTGTGTGTAATTTTCATGCAATGGTGTATCTTGTATAGATTTTGTTAATAAAATTTGCTCTGTAAGAGTTATATATGATAGTAGGAATATTTCTAAGAAAATGATAAATTTCTGGCAAATAAGATAGTACACGGTATAAATATAAAATCATGAGAAGTAACAATATGCCAACTAGATTGTCTGGTTAATGACTGCCAATGATCTATTTTCAGTGAGTAAATTTATTATTAATGTTGTACAGGTAAAACCTCCCTTCATTGGCTACCATCTAAATTGGAGGAAAATAAGATTATGAATAATATGAATTTTTCATTACTTCAATAAGCCTTACCGTTCAGAGTTGATTTGAATTCCAGGTGGTTCCAAGTTTGGATTTTCGTTAATTTCAAGTTGATGGCAGCGCATGTAGTAATATAACGTATGAAGGGCGTCTGGATTCCACGTTGTACAATGACGACCATTCAGGTTGCTAGAGATTCTCTGCTTACTTTGTTGGTAGTGCATCGCACGGCACACCAGATCACCTAAAGTCAAAATAAAAAATAATTATATTTTTGCTTGTATAGTTTTTGAAACATATTGTTAGAATTAAAGCCAGACTGTTTAAAATGAATTTTAAAAACAACCAAAAAAAAAAAAACTTCAGTAATTAACAACAATTTTAAGAGTGGCTACACTCAATTTTTCCCAGTTTTTAAATATTCAAAAATCTGTATCTCATTATTAAGTGCTTCCAAGTTTTTTTGTAAAATATGCTTTTTGTGTCTAAAAAAAAATCAATTGAACAATATATCAACAATTTTTTTTTTATCTTCTCTGGCACCTGGCTTTAAAGCTCTATGTACCAACCAATGATATGATGAAGACCTTGGGATGTTTTATTGCAAAATACAGGAGGATGAATGAATAGAGCAACTAAAATACAAGCCTATGGGTGATCCAGTTTATTCATCCTGAGACTTTTACTCAAGCAATTAAAGAATGATACCTCACGATGTTTTATTTCACCAGGCATTGCAGGATGCATTGGGATCTATATAATTTTATTATGACATTAGCATGCAAGACAACCAGTTTGATTTCGAAGACCTTTTTATCACTTGTATTTTAATTGTTATTTTACCTTGTGTCTTTGTATTGCCAGAGGAACACAAATTTCCAGTTGTTTTATTGGACAATAAATGTTATCTTATCTTATCTTTATTCAGCCGATTGAAGAATGAATATTGATTTACCAAGATCAAAGAATAAATGTGGGTCCATAAATGTTATGATGATGTTATCATGCAAAACAACTATCTGGAAAAACTTTATCCTTACCTAGTTCTGCAACACTCCCTACACACGTTGCTAGAAGGCTTTGCTCAAGAGTCTTTGACATCTCCAGACTTCCATTTGTCTTAATTTCTCTTCGGCACTTTACTTTAGCAAACTCAATCCCACTTTTAGATGAATTCGGCACACATACAGATGGTGGGAGAGCAAGAGCTCCTAAAAAAAAAAAAAATATATATCGAGTATGATATGCTTGCCATAAGTTTCACAATTAGTTTCATTATTATATTTTTTTTTATTAATTGTTTTAGGTTCAAGAAAAAGGATATGTCAAACAGTGAACTTAATCACTTTTTAATCTGGCATATCCCTTCGCAAGACAAACAAGAAAACATGATGCTGTACATAAACTACAGCCGGCACTGGCTGCGCACGACGGTTGTTGGCCGACGCAATTCTATAGAGAACGCAACGCGACGACGCACATGCAACGGATCGTTTTTAATGACATCAGATCAGACTGCTACCGAAAATCAGCAGACAGCGTCGCGTCATCTATCGCCCACAGAGAGCGGAGTTGAATTCGTCGTTGGATGGTCGTAAAGTACGACGCAGCGAGTACCGAGCTTAAACGTCCAATTATGAGGCTTTGCGAGTGGAGAAAAACAACCTGTTACTGCAACCATAGAGCATGCTATGACAGCAATACCATCTGATTGGAAGGAAAACATCTTACCCACTAAGCTATTTGTCTAAACTCCTATACCACTATTCTATACGTTTAAAATTTGAAATGGCTGCGATGGTATGGGCTCCTCTTTTGACTAGATTAAGACACAGCTGCCTTAAGGGCCTATGATTGTATTAGAAAAGTCACAACCAGCAATAGTAATAGAGCAACTACAATACAAGCCTATGGGTGATCCAGTTTATTCATCCTGAGACTTTACTCAATCAATTAAAGAATGATACCTCAGGATGTTTTATTTCACCAGGCATTGCAGGATGAATTGGGATCTATATAATTTTATTATGACATTAGCATGCAAGACAACCAGTTTGATTTCGAAGACCTTTTTATCACTTGTATTTTAATTGTTTAGGGCAAGGTAGCCCTAAAGCTACATACAGTAGCTGAGTGATATAAGGGAAGAAACAAAATAATTTACTGAAGTTTATAGTATATCACTCATGTTCATGCCAAATGTTAAGAATTTAATACCCAGACCATTCTGATAATGACAAAAAACAGTTAAACAACATAATTTATCAAATTTAGCTAAAATCAGCTAGCACAATTGTAGTAACTCCTAGAGTTTGGATAACCAGGGATAACACACCAGTAGTGGAACCACTGCTTATTGTTTGAATGGAGTTTAGTAAGTGTACTTGAAACTTATGAATATAATTACTCGCTATTGAAAGCTAGCATGAATGTTTTATGGCTGAATTAACCCATTAGTGGGTTAGAAGCCCACGGAACCTTCAATAGCAATATATTGCTCAAAATTGAGCCTAAACTACATTGAAACATTGAAACAGATACAAAACATATTTTTCCTTCTTGTAAATAAATGTTTTACTGTGTATATACCATTTTGGATATAACATTTATAAAATGCTATTTTGTATAATTTAATTTAATAATTTAATTTGGTGTTCAATGTGTTCCATGTGTTTGATCGAATGACCGGGGTAGTAATGTGAAGCATTTAGAGGCTTTGTAAAGGCATGAAGCGCTATATAAGAACGACATATTATTATTATATATTTTTTGGTATCAGCTTAATATTGGTAATGCATTTTTAGAATACTGTCAATCATGGGTTTACAGTACATACAGCCAAACATGCAGTTGAGTTTATATATAATTTACGACATTGTAAAAATGTTTCCATAGTGACACCAACATGTCATATCCCATTAAAATATGAAATCAATCAAATGCAACATGCATGTCTGAGTTCCGATGACAGTAAAAAAACTGAATAAACTAGGTTACTATTTTAATAGGTTGGTTTACCAATAGCCTGTCATAAAAAGTAACAGTTCCTCTGTCTGTGACAGAAATATACTAAGTGTGTAGAGCCAATTAACTTGTTTCAAATATAATGCATTTAAATAAGTTTATAACATTTAATTATGACAAGAAAAAAAACTGTTGTAAGAATTGATTAGAAAACTGAATTGTTTCAATGTGGGTCTCACTGGATGTCTGATAGCTTGGATTATTTTTAAGGAAAAAAACGTTTCACTGAATTTTTTAGGGTTTTACAGATTTTACCAATTACAGTATGTGAGCTTACAGCAAAGTTTGTATTGGTAATTTTTACTAGCAAAATGATGAATTTTAAGTAAAAATCACTTAAAATCAGGCTCTGTAGGAATGACAATTTCTTGATATGTTGTACAACTGATTTTTATAATTTATAAGACACAAAAAGCATATTTGACGAAAAACTTGGAAATGGTTGAGGAGATACAGAATTTTAAACATTTAAAAACTGGAGTGAAGGGACAGGTGGATAAAGGGTGGTACACCCATTTACTAAAAAATTGTATCATTTGGACTGGATTTCAGATTTTTATTTGCATTTTCTTGCAATAGCAAATATCAGCATTTATTTTATTTATCTGACACTGAGAAATGTGTTTTCTTGGTTTTGGTATAATCAAAAGCTAATACAATTAGAGAGGTTAATTTATTTATCTTAGTAGTTCACTGGGCTTCATAATTGTCCACTTTGTTATTAAAGTAAAAGGGTGTTGACAGCATGTCATTGAAACAACCTGTTAGGAGTTAAGTAGTTGTATAGAAAACAGGAATATTATTTTCAAAACCTCAATGAAAAAGCTCCATTGTAAAAAAGGTATGTATAGATTTTTCAACCAAAAATCTTAGTACTATCTTAGATTTTAAAACCAATTTTGGATCCAGGCCAAGGAAAAATGTAAAAGCTAGTTAAGGAAAAACTATAAATTCTTTGAGAGTAATCCAGGAGAAAATGTAACTTTTCCACAAATATTGAACAAAATATTATAAAATTTTACCAAATACAGATCCATGCATAACATTTTAAAACTTAAACAGAAATTTTTAAGCTATTGGATACTGAATTGTTGAATAAAATGTTATCTAAAAACAAATTTGATTCATGTGTATCAACCAATCTTTGTAAATCTATAACTGTTAAAATTGCTTTTTTTTTCTTCTTTTACTATGGTTGTAAAAAACAAACATGATTTTTCTGTGGAATTTGGGGGTGGGAGAGGAAATTTGATATTCACAGCCTAATTTAATAAACTGACAATGCAGGGTGGTAGCTACAGCAAACTAAGGATAGGTGGGAGATATTTTGAAGATGAGTGGGTGATATTAAACATTGGTAAACTTGAAATAAGTAATAAGAGTGGATTTTAAGAGCAGGTAAGGAGGTTAAGAAATTTGGGCAGAGAGTCATGAAATTAGGTGGAAAACTTCAAGATTGGGTGGCTTTACCCACCTCCACCCATCATAACTACAGTACATCCTTGTAATGTTGAATTGGCCATTCATAGTCCCGTTCATAGTTAGTAGGTTATCTCTGTCTCATAATTTAACTGCTATATTATCTCTGTTTAAATTAAAGAATATTAAGCATTGTCAGGTGTAGAGAACCTTGTTTGCAATATAATTACTTCTTATTAAGTTTTTAATGTTAATGTTTACACAGTCTTTATTTTTCGTTTGAAAAGATCTTGACTTCAAATAAGCTTTAAGGTTGCATATTCCACAGATTTCTTGGATTAATAACACCAACTTAATTTCATGCTTGGTTAGGTCGTGTTTAAACAGATAATCATTGCCATCTCCAGTAACCAATTAAATTTTTTAAAAGGATCTCTGGTGGTGTATTGAGTGTGGTTGTTCATGCTGAAAGACTATCTCTCCAATCCCAAGTGAGACTAAAAATACCATAGAAGCACTAACAGTACAGGAGCTAAAATAACTTGATCATGGGAGAGAGAAAAAACACTAATAAATACAGATAATCAGTCGACATGCAATGAAATTTTTTGTAAGCTCACGTGCGATTAAGACACTCCCGAAGGAAATACTAGTTTAATATTAAAACATGTTTTACACCTTTATTAACAACTATTCAGCCTACCTCTGGCCATGGGACTGACAGGAACTAAAGAACCTAGATATTTGCAGTTAATACTATAGAATGGACAAAAGAGAAGATATGGCCTGCTTTATGTGTTTAAGCTAGTAATATTAAGAAAGACTAAGTGTTTAAATTTTAGAATTGCTAACAAAATCTATAAAAAAAAATGAGCCAAAAAAATTGAGTATGAGATGTACTGTATAAGAACCTGGTTTGAGGAAAGTTTAACTAAATTGTACAAATTAGGACAAATAAAATTAATTGTTAGTTGGGATTTGAAATTATTTTTTAGTGAGGGTATTTACTATTTGCTTTTTACTCTCCTATATACTAATAATTATAAACAGGCTGATAAATAGTAAAAATAATTTTTTTTATAAAAGAAGTAAACTGAATCTTTGTAATGTATTTCTACCATTTATGTTCACACCTCTTCTTAGGTTTCAGTCATTATTTTTATTTTCTATGAAAAAATGAATGCTTTTTTGAAAAATAGCAAATAGTAATGTTTTTCATGAAGCTCCAAAATTTGATGAGGGTGGGGATGTGAAACTAGAAGTGCAGAATATGCAGAGAAAACCTTTACATTACTGTAGTTACAAAGTAAACTATCATAAAATTTGGTAAATAAAAAATTGACTTTGACCTATTTTGGTGATTATCTCAATATGATCTCAACAATGATGCATCTCATTTCGTGGTGAGAACTCACAATTAAAGTTCATTGGGGAGAAAAAAAATTATGGGTATTTCTACGTATTAGTAGACTCTGAAATCATTTAAATAAAACTTTGAAACCTCTAAATTGTCAAAATTTTTAGAGGCTTCACCCCCTGGAACACTTTCGAAACATTTGAAGTGGCACTCGACCACGCCCACTTTGCTCACATCGGGGAAGCCTTCCCCCACCCCCGTCGGGCAAATGCTGGCGCCACCCCTGTTAACAATATTCCTATTCTTCAGACAGAAAAAATATTTCTAACTGAATAATATTAAATAATGTAGACAAGTTTTCAACAGCTAAGGCCAGCACTCAAATTAGGAGACAAAATAAGTGATAAGCAGTGATGCGCATCTGTGACTCAGTGCACCGCTCCCGGCAATGTAATTTCATATCTTGGAATGATCACATTATACAGTTGCTAACAGTGGGGGCTCATTTGGCAGTCCTTGGAGGGCTGACATCAAATGCTGCATTGCACGATCAGTTGATCCGTGAACTTGTCCAACCACACTAAGCAAACCACAGTCATCATTTTTTTTTTTTTTTTTTTTTTTTGGATGTCATTCACATTACAGAACTAAAATAAATTATGCTTAGGAAGTGAAGTTGTTCTTAATTGTGGGAAAATATTCTGGAACTCAAGGGATTTGAACCCAGGACCAAAGGATTGGCATGTAACACCTTGAATAAAGCTCCTAAATACCGTTAATAATAAATAATGTTGAAAATAATATCACTGAAAATAACTTTAACAATAAGAGAAATAATAATAAAAATAATTTTAAAAAATAAAATAATAATACTACTACTAAAGGCAAGACTTTATATTACCTTGTTTAGCCAACTTCCTGA